CTGAACCTGAACCACAGCGTGCTGGCTGTGTGCCTTGATTTTCATAGGAAGAACCACCCATGTGCCCTCGGGCACCTGGCAGTCGGAACATTTTCCAAGATCTGCATGGTACTCAGCTGCACTGGCTGCACCTCCGTAGCCACATTGGGCTCCAAATGTGTGACGCTCCCATCCGGCGCCTGTCGGAAATGCGAACATGGGATTTCTGCCAAGATATCCCGAAGTTATAGCCATATTTTGCCATCACAGCAAATCATGTGGAGGTTTCCTAAAATAGGGGTCCCAAATCATCCCCAAAATTAGACCTCATTGACATCTTGAATTCGGTGACTTGGGGATCCTCCTTTTCAACCAACCTTCAGGCCCGTAGCATTGGAGGACAAGTCCACGATTGCCACACGATACTCCCCGCGACGTTCGCACAGACGGAGCTCTGCATGGTTTCGAGACACTCCCGACCTAGGTCCGGATGGAAGGATACTCTTCAACGGATGGCTGGGAAATCATCTATAAATGGAAATTTCAATGTAAAAAAACATGGGACAATCATCTATGAATGGAGGTTTTAATGGGAACATATGGGAACATCATCTCTAAATGGGAGTTTTGATGGGAAACATTCGGTATGAATGGAAGTTTTCATTGGAAACTCATCTAATGGTGGATTTTCCATTGCCATGTTTGATACTGGAGGGTATAACAAACGGGGTGGTTGAAGCACAACTGCCCCAAACTGCAACAGACATATGAAAATGAATGATCATCATCCCAGCTATGAACTAAGGAACATGAGAAATATAAAGAACCACTCATCTCAGATTTCAATAGCAAACCTGGTGACGCGATTCATGACTGGCGGGATTCAGAATCTCAAGCCATTTTAAACGAAAAAAATTGGCAAACCACTGAAACAGCAGGAGCTGAGCCTCAAGCAAGTTCACAGGCAAATCACAGTTCGGATCGCGACCAATGGTCACACAGTCATCCTAGCAACATTTTCTACATCATGGTGAGAATCTTTGAAACCAATCTCCACATTGTGTCACCCAATATATGGTTCATGTTTCAATCAAATCCTGGTTGGTGGTGTACCTACCCCTCTGAAAAATGATGGAGTTCGCCAGTTGGGGTTACTATTCCCATGGAAAGTCATAAAATTCCATGGTTCCAAACCACCAACCAGATATGGTTCATATTTCAATCAAATCAATCAAATCAATCAAATCCCAATCTCAATGGATTGGTTTAAGGGAACATTTTAACCGGAAAACCCCCATATTTCGTGGGAAAATCTATGGTTTCCGGTGAAGATTTTCCCGAACAAAAAACCAATCCTGTCCTCTCCAGGCCGCAGGCTGAAGCGTTGGCTCTCGTTGCCATGAAGCAACGTGAAGCTGACGGGGTCCATGGCTCATCGTCGTTGATTTTTCGGAAAGCCATCCATAAACATGGGGTGATTTTGGGGATGGTTTAATCATGTTTAATATGGTTGATATCTTAATTTTATGTTTAGGATGTTTAATTTTATGTTTGATAATGGTTTCCTAAACATCAATGTTTAATTTTATGTTTAATATGATTGATTATTTGGGTCTACATCGTTGTGACTAGCTGTACAGTTGATGTTGAGTAGCTCACCCTGTCACGGCACCATGGGGCTTTCGCATGGGATTTCGGAGATCGAAAAAGGGACAGCCCTTAAAAATGTCAGCAGAAAGGCAATACCGTAGATATCATGGAATATCATGGAATATCATGCAATTTCCAAATGGATCAACATGTGCAAAGCTGCCAAAGCTGCTCTTTTTCAGGTATTTTTGAGGTTGGAGCCGCCTTGAAAAGTTGGGCGCAGAGACTCAACCTCGAATTGAGGTGCGAAGCCTCGATTTTTAATTCCTCGTGCTTCACAGAAACGCGATGCCAGCAATTGCAATTCAAACCGCGCAAGTTCCACAAAGGCTCAGGTCTCTCGGGTTGAGTACCTCGACACGACGAACGTGTTTTGTCGTATTGGTTCTATGTTAATTAAATAGAGCTAAGATGAGCAAAGCTTCCCCATTTTCAGTTTCAAGCGTTCTGATTTAATGTTGGTTTGTTTGTTGTACTTTTTGTAAATTTGGAATCTCTATGATGTCTATATGTCATAGCAGCAAAGGAAGAGACTCTAATTTGTGCCTGCAAATGCCCAGCAAATAAACAACACCATTCTAACTCCCTTCAAAAAGACTTTGCAATTACCCTCTGGTAAACATACATGGAAAGATCCACCATTTTCTAGCTGGGTTAATCCACTTCGACTGGGCCATGGCTTCAATAGCTATTTTGACATAACCAGAGGGTAACCACCTTCCCAATTCATCCCAATTCCAGGCAATTTCCAAGCAACCAGCGTTGCAATGACTTGACCAGGTGCAAGCAAGGTGCTGTATGCTGAATCAACGGCTCGACAAAGAATGGTGATTTCCTTGCCCTTGAGGGCATCTGGCACGGGGACCTCATTTTTGCCGGAATCTGCAGAATCCCTGCCGAATGGATCAACAATGATCAACATCTATCTAGTTGAGACTTGTGGCTTTTTGGTTCACTTACCCGGCCTGGTAAACATACAAAAACGATGGAAAATCACCATTTTTATAGGTAAATCAACTATAAATGGGCCATTTTCAATAGCTGTGTTAAATTACCAGAGGTATGTTCACCTTTACTTTTTGAATGCCTCCAGTATGCCTCCATTGTGGCTTGAACTTCCACATTGGCATCCAATCATGCCCCTTTTTCACATCCAAGCTGACAGCAGCTGAGCGGCTGAGGCTTCCCAGAAGGTCCAGGCCCAAGCTCTGTTATACGGTTGGTCCTGGATGATTTTTGGGTGGTTACCTGGTTGGGTGAAGCAGGACCTGCTGATTTAAGATCTATGGAATCTATGGAATCTATGGAATCCAGTGATCCAAGATGAAAACTCATGATGATTCAACAGATCCATAGTTTTTTGTTCTAAGATCATCATATCCCACTTGAACAGATCCAGAAGTATATTTGATATATCCACGATCTCTGATCTTTGCCCTGACAAGATTAATACCATGCGGCGCATCCTGCATCAGCTGTTGGGTTTTCATCCAATTAATGCTACTGATAGGCATTGAGAACCAGATCTTTGCAACGAACCCGGCCTGGTAAACATCCCAAAAAACTATGGAAAGATCCACCATGCTATCAATGGGACAAATCACGAACTAAATGGTGATTTTCCATAGTTATGTTAAATTACCAGAGGGTATCAATAGCTACCGTTAATGGACAAATCTAGCTTCAGATCAGCGCAGCTGATTTTTTTCACGGTTGTGTGACGTCAGCGAGACAGATGCGCGTACTTGTAGAAGCTAGCATACCTTGGCTTGGGATTGGAATATCATGGAATATTCATTTTGGGATCTCATGTTCATCATGTTCATAGGATATCCATAGAATCAAGCTACTCTATGGCGCTTTGCTGTGGCGGCAAACACTGCAAATTTCTGTCCATCTCTATCTGACACTATGGATCACCGATTTGATTGTTTGACCATCCCATATTACGATATTGACATATTCAAGTTTGACGAAGATAAGAATATGGTGTTTACCCCAAAAGTTAGATCAACAATCGACCAGTCTTTTCGTAACTTGTTTCTCCACCCTTTGGAGGTTGCTCCCAGTATCCAGTTGGCAGTTGATTCTTCGACTAATCCAGCATCAATACAACATCCCCAACAAAATCTCCATTCTATACCCATTCTTTAGCCATCATGGTTAACCTTAAACATGTCATCATACCTGATTCATGTAGCTACAATTGCATCCCCAAACATCCATGAGATACCTATAATTTATCCATACTTCTGGGTAAATTATAATATTTCACTAACCCGAATTAAGGCCATTTGGGGATGATCCATCCAAGATTGAGATACCTATAATTTACCCAGATACTTATGATACTTGTCATAATTACTCAACATTTTTCCATGAGATCCATCATGATCCATCCTATCCCCATTCCAAGGCACGGAGAAAGCAACGCCAGGCCAGAGACCACCGGCACAGGCCGCTCCTCCGGAGGCTCCGGAGGCTCCTCTTGTTCCGCCGGCGTCACCACTTCGGGGGCGCCTCCAACCACAGAGGTTTTGATGTTTGGAGGATTGATGACGGGTTGATGACGGAAGTTTGCAATATATGAAGTGAAGATACTAAAACTATCTAAAACTCCATTTTTGCTTTCTGGTTGGTGGTTTTTTTCGCCACCCCGAAAAATTATTGGTTAGCCAGTTGGGATCATGATTCCCAATATATGGAAAAATAAAAAACAATCCAAACCACCAATCAGCTTTAGTATATCTCTTCGTTCTTTTATAGGCATAAACGCGTCAAATCGTCCCCAAGGATCACGTTTCTGGCACCTTGAGGCTCAGGTTCCTTCTTTTCTGGAGCTTTTGGTTGCTCCGAAACATTAGCATTCGATGATTTCGATGGCTCCTGCAGAAGGGATCGTTGTCCCAGAAATCTTCTGAACATGTTAGGAAAACAGCCAATATCCAGTGGTTCATCATCATTTGTCCCATCAAACATGGATAGATGATTTGGATTTATTTGGGTCTATACCATGTTTTTGTAGAAACCATGAGAAACCCACCCGCTGATCTCTCCTGGATGCCGCCCAAGGATAATTCTTTCGCGGCTTGTTCCAGTTCGCCAAGGATCCTTGCGATCGTTGCTGGGCTTTCCTAAAATAGGGAACCCCCAAATCATCCAAAAGTCGATCATTTTAGTATTGAAACCATTTGAAAGCTGTGGTTTTGGAGATCTCCCATGAATTGGAAACTCAAAAAAAATTGGGTTACTGGATGTTACTGGATATATTTAGGTCCCTTGATTCAGCCACATTGAATTCAAGGCATGTTAAAACCTGCCGGGACTAAAGTATTCAGAGTTGAGGGCAAGAATAAAGGAAGCGAAAACAACACACACAGAGAACTGCAACACCTAGGTTGTCTGATGGTGGGTACCCCCCCAATATCCCCAATTCCAAAGGCTTTTCATCATAACCCCCTAAACACCATGCCATGAATTGGGGGCCCAACCGCAAACACCCCAAACTGGACATAGTTGGTTATACGAGTAATGTACCCAAAAACATCCCCAGCCATCGTCCAATGCCCATTATAATCATGACTATTCCATTCAATCCAATAATCTGGGTAAATTATAATAATTCATCCACCTGAATTAAGGCCATTTAGGGATGATTTCCCTTACTAACCATGATTCCAGGGCTCGGTCGTAGTGAGGTGTGATGAAATTTACCCAGAATAATGGAACATATCCCATTTTCACACACACAACTTTCCAAAAGAAGGATCTTCTGGAATTCTTGCTCGTCCATCCTTGGCTTCTCAGCGGTTTCCTGCTCAAGCGCTGCTGGCACAAGCCATATGGTTTCCCACGCTTTCCCTGAGAATATACCAGAAACTAGACAGCAATATGAATCAATATGGGTATGCCTGGAACCAAATTGCATTGTAGATAGGGACAATGATGATTAACCAGTGAATTTGGGGGTACCTTGTTTTCATAGAAAATCATATATGAAGTAATATGTGTTTTCTTTCCTGGCATGCTTTCTGTTGCAATGACATTCTAGAGTTACAACTCAAAAACCTTTGCAGAATTTCCAATTCCGGGAATGTCGACCCAACTCCTTTCCATCTGAAGATATTGCTGACCTTCCAACTCCTCGGAATCTCCCGACGTGGACAGCTGTCCTTGGGGACTGGAGATGGGTTTTTCTTTTCACCCTGCAACTCCAGAACGACCTCTTGCAACTCCTCAAGCGCCACGAGCAAAGCTGGTGGTGACGGCAAAACTAACAGCAGGTTGTTGTGGATGATTCAACAAAAAACCAAAATGATGGTTTGATCGCCACTTTGTGGCTATGGATTCAATGCCTGCTACCCTAGCATTCACATCAAAATAGCCAATGAAAATGGATGATCATCATGGATGGTTGTGATCATTGATCATGCCATTTTTTTATCATGAGTGACCGCGGCATGACCCATCCCATATCCCATCACATCCCATTATGATGCCCACTTCATTCCCAAGACTCGCCCATGATGCTATCGAATTCCGCTGTTGTCATCTCTGGCTGCACTTTGTTGGAGGGTCGCTTCCTTGGCAGCCGATAAGGCGGGAATGAGCCCCTGACATGGTGGTGCCGCTCGGTTGTTTCGTGATGTGGCAGTCACTGCTTGGGAGAAACTATTGGGATAGTGCCACTGAACTTTTCATAGTTTAATCCTATTCAACCAATTCAACTAACGATTGAAAGTGTCCAAGTCTCACTTCCCAAATCCCGTTGTACACCAAGGCTAAACGTCAAACATGTGAAACATGTGAAACCAAGGGTCCCCATACTTGCGACACGCGCAATGGGGAAGTAGGAAGCAAGGTCTGTGGCATCCTCATAAGTAAACTCCAAATCGAATTCATCAGCTTCAGCTCCTGTAACATCACGAGGTCGATTCTGAAAGCCAAATATCAGGATCTACAGGAAATTAATGGTGCAAAACCATGAACATGAATGATAGGTGCTTGTCCACAAACGAGAGCTGAGATAGCTCAGTAGCTCAGGCCATTTCAATTTGGTTAAATGATTTTTTTTTCGAAAAAAAAACATGGGAATGGGGCTTTAACGTAACAGTTTTGGACCCCCAAATTCATCAGTCCTGAAGCGTCATCATCGCTGTCAAGTCGTTTCTCTATACCTGGCTCCTGGACAATGTGTCGCTCCATCTGTTTCCACGTTTCGAAGCAGCAGTTTGCAATGCCATCAATAATCATATCAATATCAATCATCAATCATCACGTGGATACGATTCACCCCATCTTTTCCTTGACCCGTCCTCCGCAGTCATGTCGAACTGCAAACAACTCCTGGGGAATTGTGATGTTTCCTTTGCTTCCATCTTCAATCGCAAATCCTCCCGCAGTTGGTTCTCCCGCTGACGGGCTGCAGCGACTTCATTCTGGAGAACCAATTTGGTCTTGATCACTTCTGAGAGCCGGCTCCTGTGGTAGCAGTTGCGGCAAGCACCATTGAGAGAGTGGAGGACTATTGATAACTGCTTGTTTTCTCGTCTGTAAATATGTTGTGCATTGATCGTGACACTTCCCTTCCAAGCAAAAAGGCACGTGGTATCGCAATGAGTATTGAGATGAACAGAAATAACAACATTTTGAACAGGAATGGTCAATTTGCGATGGATTAATCTCAGTGACGCTTAGCCAAATGCACAATCGTCCCAGTTTCTCCTCATTTTGGCTACTTCTTCTCCTCGGATTTCGATTGTATCCCCATGAAATTCCCATTATTGCTGCCTTTAATCCACCTTTAAATATATCGATCCACTTAGACTGCCAGTAAGTCTCGTGGTAAAAAACCATTTATCGCAAATATTGTTGGTATTTGTTGGTTGTGTCATGTTGTGTCCCATCACAGTCATATCGCCATTGTGTTCGTCGGTTTCCCTTGTCCATCCAGTTGATTTCCTAACGAAACGTTTTTGAACGTCCACAAATTCTACGTATCCTTATGTTATGGTCTGCCATCACCCCTTTTTTCTTGTATATGTAAATATATATATACATATGAATTAAAAAACATATATACATCAAATATATCCCTAAAACACCCCAAAAAATATCTCCGAATCCAGTTGTGCTGGACTTTGACTTTGAAACTGTCTGGGGGCAACGCCCGTCAAAGGGAAAAACTGAACATACTGAGAATTGAACACCCAGCTCTGCGCCCACTATGCTAGCCACAATGGACTACGACTTCACTAGCCAAACTTGCAAATTCTTGCATCGGTTTGGTTCTGATTTATTGCAAAACACTTTTTGTTCATTCAATTTTGGTTTTTGTTTCGTTATGAAAATTCATTTTGTTTTCATTTTTTCTGGTTCTTTTTGCTCTGTTTTTTGGCTATCATTTAGGAAAATGGTTGTTTGGAGCCTTGGTATTTTGAAAAGTGAATATTTCCAATTTGGCCAGATTGTCAGATTTGAAAAAAATCGAAAACACAAAAAAATAATGAACTTACAAACTTGCCAAACTTGCGAAATTGAAAAGCATCATTTCTGATATCTCTGATTTGCCATCTGCCAAAGAGTGAACTTTCATGCCGGCCGCATTTGCAAAATGAAAACGTGATAAAACAAACAATGGGAAAAACGTGGGCCATGAGTTTAGTTCATTTTTCCCTTCTGAAACTTCATTAGTTCAGGTCGAAACTGAATTATTTTTTCATCTCGCAGCGTTTCCTATATTTGGTCAGGCATGAACGCTCATTTTTTCGTTCTCTAAATCCATCTGATTCCGGCCATCAGTCCCAGGCTCACAGCCTTGGAGCCTTGGAAGGCCCAGTATGTTGCCGGATTTTTTCAAGTGAGATCGCGAAAACCAACTAAACTCAAAAAAATGCAGAAATGAGCTGACTTGAAGATGAAAACAAAAAACGATCTGAACCTACACCTTTAAGACGACAACAAAAACAATGGAAAAAATGTTCTAACTTGAACTCACAGCAGGGATCCAACATGCCCAACACAACGAAGGGAACCAAATCCGACATTGCTGACATGCGGTGCCGCATCCAGCACTTGAGAGCAAGCAGAGGCGGGCGAAAGGTAGTGCAGTGCAGGCGGAAAAATTATGAGTTGTACTCTGACCCCTCTGCCTTGCAGCCTCAAAATGCTTTGATGCGGTCGGATTTCACAATACATGACCCCATGACCGCGCCCCCCACTGACTATCTTTAGTTTTTTCTGATTTTTTGGCTGGTGGCACTGATTTTTTGACAAAGGCATTAGGCATGCTGCTGTTTAAAAAGAATTAGCATCAGCAATTTAGTGTAAAAACAAGAAAGGAACACACTCCCGCAACCTCCCGTTCTCTTTTTCATCTTCGTCCTCTTCGTGCGTCGGAAACAATTTACTCGCCGGCACAGGCGGGGGCTGAGGACGGTACCATCTGATAGTGTGCACACATAAGGTGTACATGCTTCGTTCCTTTGCAGTAGGAGTGTTGTAGCTTAGGTTTTGGAATTTACTGGATGCGGAAGAAAGAGGATATAATTTGTCTACCTCATATGGTCTAAGTTTCCAAGACAAAAGAAAAGTTTATTTATAACACCTTTTTCTTCCATGATCATCCTTGCAGCCTCAAAATGCTTTGCCGCGGAAAGATTCCACAATGCATGACCCTGTGACCGCGTCACCCGCGGGAATTGAGCCCATGACCATGTTGCCCCCCCTTATAATTGAAATCTAATATATAACGCCTAGAATTCTACGTTTTGCCCGGACTAGCCCCCCAATACCCCCTATGATTGTGCTGAAGCACGGAGAACTCAGGTAGCTGCCGCTACCTTTCATGATTACTGTAAGAACAAACCCAATACCCATTGGCGATGGTGTTTTTGGCATGCTGCATTTATTTGAGATGCGTGAAGCTACTGTGCGTGCTGCCACGCGGTGGCCACAAGGTCCTCCAGCGAAACTGCGACGCGCCGCCTGGCCCTTCGGCCAGGAAAGCCGGGGATCCTTTCCTTAGACCAGGAGAACTTTGTCTGTGCCCCTTCCGGTCTTTCGCACAGGATGCGCCGGCAGCAAGTTTTGCAAATGGCGCGACGACAGTGGCTTTTCCACCTCCCTTGCGTCGCGCCCATGCAAACCATGCATTCCTCGGCCATCCTGCTGACCTTTGGGCCAGAACAGAGCGCATACCCGGCTCCAAAAAATCAACATGTTACCTCACTGCATGAGATGTTGACCATCCTGTGCCTGTCATGACTCCCACAAACTCGAACGCACATTTTGGAAAAATGGTTGCTTGGAACTTGGTATTTTGAAAAATAAATATTTCCAAATTGACCAGATTGTCAAATTTGAAAAAAATCGAAAATACAAAGACATGAACTTACAATTTTGCCAAACTTGCGAAATTGAAAAGCATCATTTCTGATGTCTCTGGATTTGCTATGTGCCAAAAAGTGAACTTTCATGCCGGCCGCATTTGCAGAATGAAAAAGTGATAAAACAAACAATGGGAAAAACGTGGGCCATGAGATTAGTTCATTTTTCCCTTCTGAAACTTCATTAGTTCAGGTCGAAACTGAATTATTTTTTCATCTCGCAGCGTTTCCTATATTTGGTCAGGCATGAACGCTCATTTTTTCCTTCTCTAAATCCATCTGATTCCGGCCATCAGTCCCAGGCTCACAGCCTTGGAGCCTTGGAAGGCCCAGTATGTTGCCGGATTTTTTCAAGTGAGATCGCGAAAACCAACTAAAACCAAAAAAATGCAGAAATGAGCTGACTTGAAGATGAAAACAAAAAACGATCTGAACCTACACCTTTAAGACGACAACAAAAACAATGGAAAAAATGTTCTAACTTGAACTCACAGCAGGGATCCAACATGCCCAACACAACGAAGGGAACCAAATCCGACATTGCTGACATGCGGTGCCGCATCCAGCACTTGAGAGCAAGCAGAGGCGGGCGAAAGGTAGTGCAGTGCAGGCGGAAAAATTATGAGTTGTACTCTGACCCCTCTGCCTTGCAGCCTCAAAATGCTTTGATGCGGTCGGATTTCACAATACATGACCCCATGACCGCGCCCCCCACTGACTATCTTTAGTTTTTTCTGATTTTTTGGCTGGTGGCACTGATTTTTTGACAAAGGCATTAGGCATGCTGCTGTTTAAAAAGAATTAGCATCAGCAATTTAGTGTAAAAACAAGAAAGGAACACACTCCCGCAACCTCCCGTTCTCTTTTTTATCTTCGTCCTCTTCGTGCGTCGGAAACCATTTACTCGCCGGCACAGGCGGGGGCTGAGGACGGTACCATCTGATAGTGTGCACACATAAGGTGTACATGCTTCGTTCCTTTGCAGTAGCTTAGGTTTTGGAATTTACTGGATGCGGAAGAAAGAGGATATAATTTGTCTACCTCATATGGTCTAAGTTTCCAAGACAAAAGAAAAGTTTATTTATAACACCTTTTTCTTCCATGATCATCCTTGCAGCCTCAAAATGCTTTGCCGCGGAAAGATTCCACAATGCATGACCCTGTGACCGCGTCACCCGCGGGAATTGAGCCCATGACCATGTTGCCCCCCCTTATAATTGAAATCTAATACATAACGCCTGGAATTCTACGTTTTGCCCGGACTAGCCCCCAAATACCCCCTATGATTGTGCTGAAGCACGGAGAACTCAGGTAGCTGCCGCTACCTTTCATGATTACTGTAAGAACAAACCCAATACCCATTGGCGATGGTGTTTTTGGCATGCTGCAGGTATTTGAGATGCGTCAAGCTACTGTGCGTGCTGCCACGCGGTGGCCACAAGGTCCTCCAGCGAAACTGCGACGCGCCGCCTGGCCCTTCGGCCAGGAAAGCCGGGGATCCTTTCCTTAGACCAGGAGAACTTTGTCTGTGCCCCTTCCGGTCTTTCGCACAGGATGCGCCGGCAGCAAGTTTTGCAAATGGCGCGACGACAGTGGCTTTTCCACCTCCCTTGCGTCGCGCCCATGCAAACCATGCATTCCTCGGCCATCCTGCTGACCTTTGGGCCAGAACAGAGCGCATACCCGGCTCCAAAAAATCAACATGTTACCTCACTGCATGAGATGTTGACCATCCCGTGCCTGTCATGACTCCCACAAACTCGAACACACACAGAGTAACACTCCTTTCCCCCACAGTAAAACAAATGCTGGTGGGGTCTTCAGCCATCATCAAATAGTAAAATTTTTGGACAGATCGGAGCAGCTCAAATCCACATTATCCAACTTCACGAGGGATAATAGTAGTCACGTTACAAAAAAGGAGGTAGTGGTAGTAGTAGTAGTAGTAGTCGTCGTCGTCGTAGCAGAAGCAGTAGTAGTAGTAGAAGTAGTAGAAGTAGTAGTAGTAGTAGTAGTACTAGTACTAGTACTAGTACTAGTAGTAGTAGTACTAGTACTAGTACTAGTAGTAGTAGTAGTAGTAGTAGTAGTAGT